GACGGTAGGGGCTCAGTCGTTGGCGCGTGCCGTTGGCGTCCTTGTGGTAAGGATCACGGTTTAGTCTACGAGCAGCCTACATAAGAGAAGGGGCCAGGGTTTACCATCCGCCGCAGAACCCCAACCCTAGTCCCTGGTCCCCAAATCCGTTGCCCAAACCCAAACCTCAAAGAGCGGCTCGGGATTCTACAGAGTCGTGGTCGTTTCAAAGCCAGGAAACTGGAACGTGTATATCTGTATATCTATTTAACTAAAGAGTTTGGCCCCTGAATGTGTCGCATACGAACCTAAGCGAGAATGCCTCTGTTGAACGAAGGTTGCATCTACATCCACACAAGCTCACAGAGGGGCAAGCTGTACAGATGTAAAAGTCTTTCGACTAGGTATAGCCATTTCTAAATACTCGCAGAGGCGACCATAACAAAGCACCTTGAAACCATCCTCCTCATTCCTCCTCGCTACCAGCACAGCGAATGCCTGCCAGCCCAGAACCCTCAAGGCCTGGAGCAGGAACTGCGGAGTTGAGCCCTGAGCCCGACCCATGAACCCTCGACGCCTGTGACCTGAACCATCCTGAAGCTGCATCTTGGGTCGCTGGCGATGCCCTTGTCGGAGCTCGCTGCACCAGCTGCCCGGTTGCTTTGATGGAAAGTGAGCAGGGCGACGGCGTGTGCGTGGTCAAGAGCACTCAAAGCTGAATTGGATTGCGTTAAAACATTTCTCACAGACCGAATACGGAGGGGAACGTCAGCTGTTGCAGCTTTCGGTTTCGCTCAAAGTAAGCGACCAACTAATCTCGATCCCAGCGCAATCTCGCAAACCTGGTGGCAAGCCGAAATTCCCGTATCAGACTGTAGCATCCAAGCCAAAGCCTTGCACCCTGCATCCCCGGGCCCAACAACTGCAGCACCCGAGCTGTAACTGCGAGGCTCTTGTGCCCCAAATACATCTTGTTCTTAGAACTCATTCCAAAATCGCCATGCCCTACGCTCTGCCCTTTTCGCGCAAAGGCCTTGCAGAAGCTTCCGAGGAGGCCGCCTCCGCGTGATTCTGATGACGTTGCTGATAATTGGCTTTGGAGAGTCGTGTGGTCCGAAGAATTACTGCTAGGACTCTTGGGTTCAGGGAGTGCTGGCATGCAAATGATCGCTGCCATGTTGATCTGCAGCGTTTGCAAGATCAGATTGACCGCAGGAGCGCTTCAGCCGAGGTCTCCGGCCCTGGTCAGGGCTTTTCGAGTACAAGCAGTCTTCTGCTTGGTGGGATAGTATTGTGGGTCTCAGGGGTGATTCAGATTTCGTAGAAAAAATTATGCCACCAGCTCTTGGGGGTCGGGTCTCTTTCAGGAGAACACCAGCCACTGGAAGCGACAAACTCTGCCGTTCTTCAACCCTTCTAAGTGGGTAAACTATCCATTCCCTTTCAAATGCTACCGCTACATCTCAAAAACCAGATCGAGGCACGACTAGCAAACCGGAGTGACTGCTGAGGTATGCGCCACCACCGCCCGATGCGGCGGAGTTGCTGGCCTTGTTGCTTCAGGGTTGAGTTGACATGGCAGGCTTCTGGCCTTCAACACTTGAAGGGTCAATTTGTTTACCGGATTGGCACCTACAAAACGGAAATGCTGGCCAAGCTCTGGGAAGATTGTCTTGATGGATGCTCCTGAACAGGGTCCGGTTCGTGTCCGGCGCAGCCCGAAGTTTATGCGCTACATCAGAAGTTGCTCTCTCATTGCTTCTCTGCCGAGTGGCACATCTCGCATCGCTGCAGCTGGCGATTGTGCGGCCTTCATGTACCATGTCTGATGTGAAAGATGATGACTGTCTGAAGGGCAGCATGACGTAAACAACAGACACGACAATCAGACGTGGCACTGGTAGTGGGTCTTACGGCCGCAAAGCAAAGGGCTATTTCAATGCCACCCTGACGACCAAAATGCTCCTGACATAGACCAATGCGGCTCAGGAAAAGCATAATGTCGTTGTTGATGACCAGGGCCACTGAAACACATGATCTTTATGGCCATGACAGCATGGCTCAGAAATTCGAATTATAACTTATAACAATATATTCAATCTGGGTACTCCGGCTCAAAGCGTGAATCAGGTCCTGCGTCATTACCAACCAGAGTGGGCTTGCTGGCGCCACACGCAAGCCCCGGCAACTTGGGCCTGAGGCACCTTTTCCGCCGAAGGAGTGCCAGTGCGCGCCGGGAGTGGCCAGCTGGAATTAAGCATCTGAGTGCGAAGTATGGACTGCGGATGAAGGGCTTGGAGTGAGGAATTCAAGGTGCTCTGTGTTGCGAGGTTTTCTGTTCTGTTGGGGTGGAGGGATGTGGAGGAATTGAGGATGCAATGGCTTGAGATCGGGATGTGGTTTTTCGAGTTCCGTGGGGCATACTGACCCCAAGCAGAGCAAAAGGGCATCTAACATGTCGTCGGCTGTTGAACGCGGAGGTGGTTGCAGTAGGAGCAGGTAGTTGGAACCCGAGATTCAAACCCTAAACAGCCCTAAAGCCAATTCCTATCTCAGGTCGTGCTGAGCTGGGCGCTTGCCAGTCGCCTCTCGCCGTGACGACTTCATGGCTCATGTTCGAGTAGTGTCTCGAACTCTTCCAAAGCCTAAACTTTCCGGTATATAGTCTATCAACCTATATATATATATATATGTATATATGTCTATATGCGCTTTCATGTTTGCCCTTTCGACAGATCAATAACATGGCTAGCTTCGGTGATTGCCAAGGCTTCCATTGCTCTTGACTCTTGAGTACTGATGATCCTCTGACACGTGCGGTGGTGGTTTCTAGCTTATCATATGGCTCTTATCCCTGGTGCTGCCCAGGACGAGGAGATTCTTCGCTGGTGGAAGGCCGCGACTCGAATCAATAGCTTATGTAAACATCCACAGGTAGAGTTCACCCATGTCACCATAAGGTAGCTCTGTCAGCAAAACCTGAAGTCGTTCGTAAGAAAACTGCGATGTAAGAAACAAACTTATGTGTACTCGTACTTGGACTAAGGTACCTCTATCGGTTTAGAGCCGATGCTGCTGTGCGGCCGTCCGTAGGGCTATTCGACTTGTTCGATGTGGCTGATGTGGCGAGGAAGCTGTTCCGTGCCGCCAATTGGATGGCCCTATGCCCTATTCTGCAGGAAAGTTGACAGTGAAGAGTCACAATGACGTGTTGCATGACAGCCGATCGCCGTGATACCATGAATACACCCGCTCTTAAATCTTCCTAAAACCGGCCCGGTGTCCGGCCGACTCCTTATCTTGTCTTCTCGCTGTGCAGATCGCTGCAGAGTTACCCAGGGCCGAAATTCACAAAAACGTCGTGGCTTTCCAACGAAAACGACATGAGAGGGTTCACACTATGATGATTCTAGCGGCTATTAGCGGCTTGAAGGGTGGGTGGATCCTCGCGACAGACTCGACATGCCATCAAACCTTCCAGAAGAAAAAGCAGGCATGGCCCCCTGTTGCGAAGTTGCTGCCGACTTGTTGCGCCCACCGCATTTGGGTTGGCTTCGGGTCACTATGAACACAGACAGCACGCCGGATGTTTCGTCGCACGTAGTGAGAGATGTAATGCTTCTGGGAATACAAGCATGTTTCACGAATACATGCGCAGATATGCACAATTGTATAATTTGAGAGGGAAGCAGCCGCAGAAGCTGGCGGGCTGGTGTGCAATGTTGGTAACCAGCTCTGCATGTCAAACGACATGATGCAGCATGTGCGCATGAAGCTGACTACATGGTTCTGTCACTGATTTAGCCTCGGGTTGTGGGCATGCTCGCTTGTTCAAACACCGCGGCGTGCGTCAGACTGAGTTGTTGCGTGGTGCTCTTTGAGCAGCAACATAAGCTTTCCATTACTGTGATGCTAGACTGTTAAGTTCACTGACCAATACGTATGCGGAGGAAAGTCACTGCGTATGTCGTTCCTCCATTGCACAACCTTTGAGGCCAGTACTACGTGTGCTTTCTGTGTAGCTGCAGCAAGACGGTGCCATGTCCGTGCAACTGATATTTGACTCAGAAGCCTCACGGGTGCTAGTGCTTCCTGAGTGAACACGGGGTGGGTGCAGAATGGGCACAGCGACACATTCAGATGTGACTCAGCAACTCGGAAGCAGTAAATGACTCTCCATGCCGTGGCTGACTGGAACGACCAACAATGAACGGACGAGATGCAGCACAAGCCCGTAAGATCACAAACTCGCGAAACCCCGAACAGACTCCTGCTGAAACCTAGGCACTTCGTGTTCAGCCACGGGGCAGAGCAAGGAAGGAAGCAACTCCTGCCTTGATCCATTTCGACACGGCCTGGCCCCGCCAGCTTCAACTCAGTTTGGATCAGGAATCAGGACACCATCGGGAGATGGCTGATTACTGATGTGCAAGACTTCTACAGAGGTGTCCTCTCCAGTTGAGGCTTCTGGATTTTGAGGGGGGGGGGGGGGGGGGGCAGTTGATCAGTGGCTGTTTGGAGGGAGTAAGGAGCACGGGCTCAGCTTCGCCCAAGCGTCGCACCCCCCCATAAGCACCTTCGAGCTTAGGGTTTACGGGTGTGGGGTTTGCCGCAGCAGAACCATTTAAAAATTTAACATCAGTTAACTGTACCACAGGACAGCACCGAAAAGGAACGAGGCTGAAGCGGTAAACGTGCCAGCGACACCATAAAGGAGTCCAGCCTTCTGCTTACAAAGTAATCTGGAAAACAGGTCATAACCATAATTAAATTGCTGAAACCTCGCAAACAAGGTATTACTAAAACCACCACAAGCGGAGATGCCAAAGTGCACCATAAATCCACGCCCGGGCTAACGGAGGCTAATTGCGGAGGTATGTAAGGGCGCGTACATTGGAGAAACGTAAACGGCCACATATGTGCCCGCATATATATATATATATATATCTGTGTGTGCACACACATAGGCGGATGGATGCATAAACATGCGGATACATTTGGGGTTAGTATTTTATTGAACA